GGCAAAAAGTCTATTAACCGGCATTTGACTTCTGACTCCAGACTATCATCACCTCACTGTATGCCATAGTCAACTACTTTCACAGTACTCACCTCACCTTTTTTCTACCCTGTGACTGCCTCTTTAACATCTATGAATCACCCTTCTGTTCTCTCGAATTTTTCTCACTTTGATGTTCCTCCCCTCTGTGGTTCCCCCTCTTGAATTTTTCTCACTTTGATGTTCCTCCCCTCTGTGAAGCCCAAAGTCAGCTAAGGGGCTAATGACTACTATCACAACACGTGCCATTTGAAATAAATAAATAAATAATTTTTTTATCCAAATAACCGCCCCAGTACTTATGACTCTGCCTTTCGACTTGTCCATCTTTGTTGGCTTAAAATAAAACTAAGTTATGGGTATGTTTTTAGTCCGTGTTAACTTCGCATCATCTTGCTTTGAATTAATTTGTCTTTGTATTTCTTTATTTCTCTTTATTACACCCTAGTATATTTGATCGGTCTTCAATCAAAATTTGAACTGGCGTGTATTTGTCTAATTAATCACCCAATCAGGAGGAGGGTAAAGACAATACGTCGATATTTTTACTAATTAAGTTCCTTTCCCCCTTGCAGCTATGAATGGAGTTCCCTTCAAACTTACCAGAGACTGTCGAACTGGCGACTCTGATGATATTGTAAGTAGGGCGTGGTCTCTCTCCCTTTAACTCCCAATATTGCATTCTAACACTATGTGTGTGTGTGTTTTCTTACTTTCAAGATGAGTCGTTATTCAGTTCACCCAAAATCCCGTGAGGCTATTGAAGATGAGGTAGTTCTAGTTAAAATAAGCAATCTTTATGTTATTATTCCCTCAATCGCTTTCAACTTATTGCTGCTTCTTTACTTGTTTTCAGTACTACTTCGATTTCTCCCTGGAGAAAACATTGACAGCTTATTAAATTATGTTTAATATTTGGACAACGTTTACCTGCTCCTCTTGCAAATGCACCTCAAAAACTGTTATCTTATTATCTTCCTGGTTTTTTTTAACTTACTTATTGCAATCATTAGTAATAATGATTTGAATCTATTGACTTCCGTATTACTTGATTGTGCACGACGATGAGGTTTAGGTCATCTGTTAAATTAAGAAGTCTTTACTCAACAGCGCATGTCCTGAGGGGTGTATGACCTAACGCAAGAGGTGGGCTTCTTTTCTCCATACGTGCCGGGTGTTGGGGATTTCTTGCATTCGATTATCTTTAAATAATTACTCTCCATGGATTCTCCAATGAGGGCTATGCCATGTGACGGTCAAGTAAAATAGCTGAGGTTATTTTTTCGGTCTTTCGAAGAAGAGATGATTTGAGGCGACTAAATCAGTCATAATGGTGATGGAGAATGCGGAACATATGAAGCACTTGGGGATCGTTCATTCCCTCACCATGTTGAATTTTAATCACACTTCAAGATTACACTGAGTTATAATGATGTGATGACCTGATTAGATAATCTTGCCTTTTCCTCCAGCCATTAAAAAATGGAAAGCGTCCTTTTGTATGAACTCAGAAACCAGTGTAATGTGTGGGTACATTAGCTCTACGAGCATCCCAAGTACGAGATTGTAAACAGATTGAGAATTTGACTGGAAGACTTATTGGGCGAGTGTAGACTACAGTCTTTCTAACACGGTCGAATTGGCTGTTAGTCTTACGAGATAAGACTCAAGATATCGTAGCAGAGGAATGGGCTGATTGAGAAATGATTCATTGATGGGAAAGAGACTTAGATTTGGGGTATAATCAGTACGCACATTGCTAATAATAAGACAAAAAGGAGTCCCGTGCTACGCTCATAACTCCTCTAGGGACAAAGCATGAATCGTAACTTAGTCGGCAACATATCAGCCTTTATAGCGCCAATTGTTATATTTAATTAGTAGATGTAACCAAACTTATTAATTTCTTCCCATTGAATTCGTAAATAGTCATATGCACTCCATCACTCTGCAAAACTTAACGGTGGTAAATTGCACATGGTACATTAACAGTGTTTTGGAAGAGTCTAATTAAGCATCAATTATGGAAATTTGGGAGGAAACATATAACTAAATAGACAAACATAAATTTCGCATAAATTTCAATGTCTATTTTGGATATCTCACTGAATTCTATGTTTATATATATTTTACACTTCTTAATGTACAGCTTCAAGCCATCCATTCAAACAATGGCGCAATATATCCAACTCAATTATCAGAATCTCTTTGAGCAGTAACAGTACTACACAAAATTAATAATGGTTTCCATTGCCAGATTCATTTAATTTAATCCTATTTAATGCCACCAAAAATTCCAATGGACATGTGATGTAAAAAAATCATTTATTTTTTATATTTTAAACCTACCCAGGCACGGTATGAGGTAAAAAGGAAAAGGTTTGTGTATCGTAAATAGGAGCTCTTTATTGAAAAAGTATTTCTCGTTTAACGGCCACAAGTAGTGCTATAGGACAAAAAAGGAAGATAATAACCACTTGTCCTATTATTCTTTAAGAGGCAATGAAATATACATTTATTTATGGGAAGCTAAATCTTAAATGTTTCTAGTAAAACTAAACTTTTACCCAATAATATTGAGGGACTGGAATAGTTATATTATAATGTTTATAATAGTTATAGATTAGAATTCAAACCTAAAGCACTCTTGAAAATCAAAGCAAAACAGGAGGTTTATAAGAGAAAGTTATCATGTTCAAACTATAATAAAGGTGCACAATTGACAAATTATGAAATTATGTTTTTAATTTTGGGCTAAATAAGTTCTAAGGCTATAAATGTTCAGTTTTAATTTACTAGAACTCAGCCTCGGTCCTTGTATTTTTTAAAAAGGTGCCAAATTTGGTATTGCTATTCGCCTGTCACTTGCGTTAGCTGTTTTTGCTTTTCAATCTTTATTTTTAGATCTATAGACTTGAAAACTATCTAATTCTTTGATATATTTTGCTACATAAATCAATTCTGAATAATACCAGAACCAAATCCAAGTAACCAAAATTTATTTTTTGATAGATTATAAATGGTTGCCGTTTGGGATGACGTAAGCTTCAAGTTTTACATTTTCATGAATAAGTAAAAATATTCGTGTGATTAAATGCTTTCGGACAGTTTATTAAACAGTTGGATGAGCTCTTACTCGGAGATGACCTGGTTATTATGAAGCTAACAAGGATGTTTCACTCAACTTCGAGCAGATTTCAAGACAATCCCGAAACTGTTCAACTCTTGCAGGATTTCATTAAGCGCATACGCTCATCACCTTTGGACGCCTATCCAATGCTCTTGGAACTGAAGTTAATATTTAATAAAAATTTACGCCAATTCACTGAGGTTTGCATAAAATCCTTATGAAAAAATTGTCTACTTATAATCATTAATTGAATCTTGTCTTAATTTTTTGCAGCCTTTAGCGAAGACTAGATCACAGCAGCATAAACTTATGGTTAGTCCTTCCATTCTCTTCAACCATTGCACTGTTTTGTAATGTTTATTACAATGTGTTTTATCGGCCAGCTATCAATTTCGACCAGAACTTCATCGAATGCCTCTCTTGAAGCACCTCCTAAACGTCGAAGAGTGGAATTTACTACCCTTGTCGATTCACCTCAAAGTATTGAAATTGACCAAGAGGATGAAGAGGAAAAGGATCGAGATGTTGTTTCCAGTGTCCGGAAACGAATCCGTTCTGTCAAATCTTCGAATCTTCTTGCTCGTCCTAATAGTAAGTTGATCAATTTTTTGTATTTAAATCAAAATCGACTTCTGTCTCACAATATTTTCAATGTACAGAAAGGCGTAAGTCGGTTGCAAAAGTGCAGCGAACTGATTCCAAAAACTTCTACGAATTGCGTAATTTAGAAAGAACTATGCTTGTAAGAACCATTGGTGTAGCTCTCTTGAATGATTTCTTTGATTGCGGTTTAGGTTATTTTCAATTTTTACTATTGTAGCACATTTCTAATGAGATCCAGCAGCTGGAAGAGGCTGAAGTAGATTTTAGTGACGAAGAAAATTCAGAGTATTTGCGTATAGATGTCCTCAAACGTCAGGAATTGAAATTATGGAGGGAATATTGTCGTCTAAAAGGCTCAAATCCCAACGTGGCTAGATTTGATCGTCAGGCGTTCCGATATAATGGTGAGTACGCTTTTTTAAACTTTTATTTTTAAATTACTTTTATTAAATACTGCTAAAACTATAAATCCAAGAGTCATTAATGCGTACTTATAAGAATATTTAATGACAGCATCTCTAAGCTTAATGCTGGCGTATTTGAGCGTAAATTGCCCTAAATTCACCCGCTAGGAGCACATAGTCGTGCTATTTCAAATCGTGGCTATGGATAAATAATGAAATGGAATAAAAACTGAGGTCATCTATATCATCTCATGAAGGCGTCATTTAGATAATTGTCTCAGCTCATTTGCTTTATCGATTATGTGACTGCTTGGATCCAATTGTGTAACTCCTCTTATTATTACGCCAACGCAATAGTATTTGTGTCAGTCCCGCTCTTCATGTTTACCTCACCTGTCCTCATCGCCGCGCCTTTTCGTTAGGTGACCTTTTACTTTTTTGTCGATGGCGCATTATTCACTTTGTACGCCTACCATATTTCTACTGTGACTGCACTGAGAGAGTCGGGCTAGTAAAAAGATGGCAACGCAATTCGAATCTCCCGCCCACGAGGCTACTACCCTATGCTAAAGTGAGCATTTAAAATCGACTTCTCAATTGGGCTTAGGTTAAAATGTTCTCTCCGAGCATTCCCAGAGTGTAAAACGTCACTCTGGTCGTATTCTGTGACGTTCTCATCAATCGAGTATCAAATCTCGCTCGATCCTTCTTTGTACGTTGTTCGACGTTTATATCATTCTTGTTGGCTAATGTTAACCAATGCGGTTGTTGACCTTCTACGCCACCACTAGGTGTTCATCAATCTCTTACCTTTGCAAGTCAATTATTTTGAATCACAACCTAATTCTGCTGAAATAAGGTTGTATTCTCCCCTAAGAAATAGCCCTCCATATCGGATAGGATTTTTGATTTTGATTGTAACTCAAGGCCACGACTCAAAATTGTGTGTTTCTATTCTTATCTCCATTGTGGCACTTGCCGAGCTTCTCTCTTATTAGTCCTTCCCTTAGAAGGGGGAAATCATGAGTAGCTAGTTATATAACCTCTAACAAATAGAGCCTTAGAGCAATAATAACCACGATAGTGGCTACATGGAAAGATTAAATTAATTAACCCAAATTATTTTTTTCAAATAATGCACTCAATTACACTAACTTATCTCACAGCAGCAAACCGATTACGCCCACGTGGTAACTTTTAGTGGTGTATCAGGCGAAGGCGGCTACAGACACGTATTGAACATCGTTCAAACGCCAATAGCGCGCCTTCTGTTACGAGTCTAGTACCAATGGAGCTTATTTTGAAAGAGGACCGTACAGACCTAAGGGGTTAATTAGTAATTAGGGTCAGGGTTGAGGTATTACTTCTTCATGCGGCAGTAACTTTCCCAGCACTTAATTTGCACTTATAAACCCTATGAATTACTTTGAGCTTTCTATTGATGCTTTCTCACCGTTTTCTCCCAGTGAAGAGCTCAGAATTGGTAATTGTAGAGGTATTGTGGGGGGGGGGGGGGGAGTAGTGTGTGTGAGGAAATGGGAAAGAGAATTGTGTGGAAGATGTAACTGTACCATGGCCTAACGTGTACGTATGTGCTAAGTCAAAAGTCACGAAATAAAGTCCCATCTGTGCATATCCAGTGTTGCGGGAATGGCCAATTCCACTGGGGGTAGTTCTATTCAAACTTGGCGTGTTCAAATTGGAGCTTCTTATTAAGGTGGTTACTCTGGGATATTGCTTTATTCGATTCAAGGCTTTGGGGAGATGTGGTCTTTACTTTTGCTTCTTTTTTTTCTAGGTTCCCGATTTACCGAAATTAATAAGGCTGTGGAAAAGCTCGTCAAGTCCTCCCCCAATATGCCCGACTATCCCGATGTTCGTAACTTAGTAGTGGACTTATACTCCACACTCTCTCCGCATTCATCGTAATTTCTACACTTTCTTTGATTGCTAATTTTTTTGAATTTAAAGCGTTCCATTTAGCTTCGTTTTACTTTTTCTCTCAGCCCAAAGGCGATTGACCAAGAAGCTCAGAGGATTTTCGTTGAGGTCTGCCAAAAATTGAAGAATCGTAGGGAGATGGAGTTTCAAAGAGATCTATTTCGTCCCCTCCCCTCAGGTGTCGACCAATCAGAGTAAGCGATTTTAAGAGGAGCCTTGAAACTCTAACTCTAATTGTGATATAAGCCAAAGGTGTATCTGTTTTGCAGCCCTGACGCCGATCCGGCTTTGCATAGTCCGGAGCTTAGAAAACAACTAAGGGCCAATGAACGGATCGCGGCCTCTAAGCTCAATTCTGTGAGTCGCATATTTTGAAGGTTTCTTTGCCTTATGATATTTATCATTAGCCCTTAAACTTTGACTTCAGCTTCCCCCCTTGGGTGGGGGGGGGGGGGGGGGTGTGTACATATATGGCAGTTAATAGCAGTTCACTAGCTGTCTTCTTGTTTCCCAGTATCTCTGGGTTTCCGTCGTTGTCTTTAGGGCTGGACACCGAATCAGATGGGTCTTCTCCATTTCCTCATGTAGGTTACATAGGGGGCATGTGGGTTGAGTGTATACTCCCAATCTGTGAAGGTGTTTTGCTAAGTAATCGTGTCCAGTACGTAGTCTAAACTCAGCAGTGGCTTCGATTCTTGGCCAGTCGGCTATGTCGGAGAGTGCCACTGTCCACTGTTTCTCCTTTGTTCGAGTTTTAAGTTCGTTGAACCTTGAGGTCTTGAATTCTCTTCTGATCGGGAGAGTGCCACTGTCCACTGTTTCCCCTTTGTTCTTGAGTTCGTTGAACCTTGAGGTCGATTCTTGGCCAGTCGGCTATGTCGGAGAGTGCCACTGTCCACTGTTTCTCCTTTGTTCGAGTTTTAAGTTCGTTGAACCTTGAGGTCTTTAATTCTCTCCTGATTCAGGTTTTCATCGTGAGGAAAGACATCGGCCGGTGTATGCCTTGCAAAATCGTTGTCCCCTTCTTAGCAAGTGTGTCAGCAAGCTCATTGCTTTTAATGCCACAGTGAAGGTTTTGAAGGTTTAATTGATGCTTTTAAAAAATTGAATCAAAATGATACGAAGGGGGCCTTCAAGTAACTTAAAAGTTTTTGCAGTTTGTTTTTTTGCAAATGTCGATAATATTTTCTACAGTCAATAGATGGCATCCCTCCCTACCTGCTCTTGGATTTCTTTCAATTATTCCCGAGAGTTGAACGAATGTCCGTAGGAAAGTCGTCACTGTCTGAGGGAGGTCCCTTTTACTTGACCTAATATTCAGCCAATTGCTTTCGTTAGGAAACAAACCGAATCATGAACATCTATCCCTACAACAATTTCGTTTCCGAAATGCACAGATTTCTTGGGATCTGGGGTTTTGATCGGTTCCTTCTCGCCTCAAAGCGCATGATTTTTGGAAGAAAAAAATTTCATCCAGGTTTTCAATGGGAGTATGACGTGGCGTTCCATTATTATTTCAGATCAAATTTGTTGGCTTGCAGAAGAAAACTCTCTTTTCTTAAATTGGACAGTTTAAAGTGTATTTTTGCTTTTGTCTAAGTTGTCAGAATGTTTACCTTTTCCACCATTAAATGAGGACTGAGAAACAGTCAGTTTCCCACATTAATCACAACGTTTCTCGTCTTTGGTAATATGTCCAAATTGTGTGCCTCATCAGGGGGGCAATTCGGAGAGTTTAATAATTTTGGGCTCTGATCCGAAGTGAGAGAAAGGAGTGGGTAGATCGAAATACGCTAGACTGTTGACAGAATCTATCGACAGTGGTGTTAGTGTCTGCATAGTGTGCAGAGACGTCTTCAACGTTTTTGCTCGCTTTCTGATAGGACTAATTTTGAATCAGCTAATATTTCACCTACTCTCTTTTGTGCTGGTCACTTTAGGTAATTATGAAATACAGTCGGTTGCAAGAGATGGCGGAAGCTGAAGCGACTGACTCGAATGAGAATACCAACGAGGATCAGCCTTCTCCATTCGCACGAATTACTTCCGACGAATGGGAACTACAAGAACCCATCCCGACTTCTACGCAAGACGCACAGATTTCTTGTCCAGTTTTTGAGGAAAGTGAAGGCTCAGGCGAAATCCCTCCACCCGAAATACCAAGGTCTGTTGCTGATTCCTCTAATTCTTCTCCTTGTGAGATGATTGTCATTTCCGACGGAGAAGAAGATGTAGTCGACAGCAATGAAAATGTCGGGGATGATGATGATGACGAACCAGAAATTGTGGGCGTTGAATATCATCCACCACCACCGCCACCTAGACAGCAATCATCTCACTCTGCTGGTGTTTCTTTTTCTCATTCCCAGCCAACAATTCGTCACACGACAATCAATAATCGGAGGTACGCTCTTCCTTTGGAAAATGGGAGTACAATGTTTGTCGCAATGGCTCAACAGTGTGTGGTGCAAGTTCAGCCTCGATCTTCGTAGGCGACATTTTCTCCCATCTTTCAACCTCGACACCCGCTCACTTTCTTGTAAAAATTGAAGGGCTTTTTATATGATATTTATAATGCCTTACTACTATTAATATTATTAAAAGACGAGCTTATGGACGTGGAAATCTTCAATTCACTGTCGTGATGAAAGCGCAGTCTTTTATTTAAAATATATATTTTATGCTATTAACAATTATCTTCCAATGACCGTTAACTGTGAAGCTCAATATTTATTTATATCAAATGACAGGCGTTTTGATGGTTATCATTAGCCCTTTAGTTGACTTCAGGCTTCACATAGAGGAGGGGGAACATCAAAGTGAAAAAAAGTCGAGAGGAGGGTTACTGAAGAGGGTTTCAAAGACGAAGGTTGAAAATTTAGAAAAAATGTGATGTAGCACTGTGGAAGTGGTCGAATATGTCATATAGGGGGCCTTGTTAGTTTAAAGTCAACTGCCGGTTAATAGACTTTTTTGCCGTATGAGTATACGTTGCCAAGGATGCACCACGTGGAGGTAAGTCTATCGCACACCCCGTGATGTTCAACATAATTAATCGAATTAAAAGGCGTTGTAAG